AGGGAGCCGGGGTACCGCCGAGAAGCACCCGCTGGGGGTGCCGGCGCCAGCACAGCTGGGGCGTCTCGAAAGCTTGTGTTGCCTCCAGGTCCCTTTGGTTTTGCTGGTGACAATGCCCCATTTTAGGAGACCGGCCCGCTCTGCCGTCCCACGGCCCCATCCTTGTCACGGTGCTTCTCGCAAGCGGTCGCACCCCGCTCCTCAACCGCTCTCCTGTTCTCAGGTGGCGAACGCCGTCTCTGCCAAGGGGAGGTACAAGCAGATGCCGGGCTGCTTCAACTTTCTCCGTAAAAAATTCTTCTTCATGTGCAAATGACGTGTGGGCTCTGAGGTCCCTTCCGAGCAACCTTCCCGCGGCCGGATGAAATCTGTGTCCGCCGTGACTCGGTGTCAATGCTCCCGGTGGCCTTTGGCTGTCTGTCGAGATGTTTGTCTTGAGAAACGTGCCCTGTGAACGCTGGCCGTGCGGTGAACGCCTCGGTCAGACGGAGGCTGGTGTGGTGCTGGTGGGAGCAGGGATGGGCGAAGGAAGCCACTCGGCCAGGGCGCGGGCTGGGCCGGAGCCTCCCCGCTCGCGAAGGCGAGCGCCTCTACCTCGACGTGACGCGGCCGCGCTCGGCCTCTGAGTGTTTCTTTTCGGTGGTGGCTGCGTTTGTGTCCTTTGCCGCCTGGATAACCGATGGATGGAATCCAGATCTGGCGCTGAAGTGGAACGGAACGATTTCTGCCATCGGTATTTCTCGTTCTCAGTAAAACACAATAAAAAAAGGAAAAAAATCTTTTGCGTTATCTATTCCATCTCGTGAACGCCGTTTCAGCATCTCCCCAAGGCTTCTCTGAAACGGGAAGAGCTGGAAGAACCTCGCTCGAGTAATTTTTTAGCCTCCTGCTGTCACTGGCAGTGTTTCCAATGGGGCCCTGCCAGCGTACGGAGAAGGCGGCTCGCGTCCTCCCGAGGAGTCGCTTGGGCACTAAACGGGAGTTACGGCAGGAACCCGACGAGGATTCCTTCAGACATCAGAGCTGAGCGAAAGCCCTCGCCCTGATGAGCTGCTGGGGGTAGCTGCGGTGAGAGTTGTGGGGCAGAAACACTGGACGTATGTGGGATTTGTGGGGGAAAGAATCCTTGGAGACCGAGGGGCTGTCTGAGGGTAGGCAAGCTGTGCGTGTGGCTGCCCGTCCCGTCCTCATCACACGGGGCGTTCTGCGCTCTTGGGAAGCCGTGCAGGGGTTTTGGCACTGCAAAGGCGGATCATGCTGTGCCCTTTGCCTCCGCGCTGCCGGGGAGGGAACCTGTGGGTCTCCGATCTGCCTTTACAGGCGCTAGGGATTTCCACTCTCCTTTTTTTGGGAGCATTGCGGGTACTTTGAGGCAGTTTGGCACCGCCGGCAGGGTGATTCTCAGCCCAGGGTTTGGGCTTCACTAGTTTTTGAAGGGTGCTGGGGCTTGAGCAATGGCAGAAGGAGCTGAAAACTTGAAAGAAGTAATTAAAAGTGTGTGTGTGGGGGGGAATCTCACTCCTGCAAAGGGTGTTAATGCTCTCCCTCAGTTGCCTCCAGTCCCTACTGCTTGGGGAGCGGCGTCCCACGGTGGTGAAGGCCTGGCCGTCCCTCACATGCACCCAAAGCAGCTGTGGGAAAGAAAAGCCCCTCGGGTACTCAATGAGCATGAGGGGACATCACCGGGAGACCCTCAAGCCGTGCAGCCTTGGGGCAGGTTGTGCTTTGCCCTAGAAATCAGGAACAGGGGCTGAGCGGGACCATTCCAAGCTGGTGTAAGGGTCCAGGATGCACAGCCCGCCGCCTGTAAAACTCGGGACCGAGGGGCAAAGGGCCGGCTGGAAGAGAGGGGCAGTCTCCAGGAAGCAGGGCGGGGAGAGAACTGCCTGTTGCCAGGCGGGGGGAATTGGGAAGGGGCTCAGGTTGAGCCAATTAGGGCAGTGCTGGGGGCTGAAAGGGCAGGGCCAGAGCCAGAGCAAGCAGGATCTGGTCAGGATCTGGTCTCTACTGGGGGCCTCCACATGCCCAAGTGGCCGTCAGCACCGGAGCAGGAGCAGCAAATCCTTCGTGGTGAAGCTGGACAGCCGGGCTGGGAGATGCCGATGCCCGTCACCTGCGCTGCTGGGGTAAGTGGAGCTCTGGTTTTAGATACCGCTCAACTGCAGCATCCTGTCAGAGATCTGCCCTGCTATGAGATCCTGCGATGGAAGGAGGAGAAAGCTGGGAAGAAAGGATGTGAATTTTGGGTTGTATTTAAAAACAAAAAAAAGCCAGGTATTCGGAAAGTGATTTTTAGGATGATGTGGTAGAAGCACAGCAAAGAGGAACACGAAAACAAAACAGATGCTGGGTATTGTTCTTCTCCAACATTGTTCTCCCTTGCCCTGGAACCGGTGCTCGGCCAGCGGAGGAGCGATCCCGAGGTCCCGCAGCCCTGTCCATGGCAGGTGAGAGCGGTGTTTGCTGTGGCTTTAGTGCCTGTCCCCACCCTTGTCCCTCTTGGTGGTGCTGAGCTCTGGTGGTGCCGCATTGGGATGGCGGGAACAGCGTGGGGTCAGGGCCGGCCCGGGACCTGCGCCCCTTTCCCAGGGGGCTGAGCACGGGGTGGCCGAGGGTCCCTACCGGCAGGGGCCCACCTTGGGTGCCCGTCCTCGGCACCGTGGGGAGTGGGTTCCTTGCCGCTGCCCCAGCTACGGCATCAG